TGCTGGTGCTAGGTGCCGGGCGCCGGTCAGGGTGCTGGTGCTGTGAGCTGGCTGTGCACGTGGTGGAGACAGGTGCTGGTGCTGGTGCTGGGTGCTGGGTGCCGGTGCTGGCGCTGGTGCTGTGAGCTGGCTGTGGCTGGTGTTGTGAGCTGGCCGTGCGTGTGCCGGTGCCGGTGCTGGGGGCTGGCTGTGCGCTTGGTGGAGACAGGGTGCCGAGTGTCGGTGCTGGGTGCTGGCTGGCTGGCTGTGCGCGTGGTGGAGACAGGGTGCTGGGCGCGTGCCGGTGCTGGTGCTGGTGCTGTGAGGTGCCGGGTGCTGGCGCTGGCCGTGCGCGTAGTGGAGACACGCCACGCTGTAAAAATTGGAGCTGTTGCCAATGCAGGGTGCAGCCTAGAAAAATCTTTTGCGTGCTTTTGCTATCTGGGATCTATGCTGGAGTATTTTTAATGTAGCACAAAGACATACAAAGACACGTCTGTGAAGGTCAGGTGTTCGGCCAGTAGAGATCGAAGTTGCGCATGTCCTTTTGTAGATGAAGTTCGTTTTGATCCTGCTGTACCAAAACGGCGTTCTCTGTAGAATGGTTGGAGAGGGAGTCAGAGTCCAAGAGAGGCATTTGTGGCAAGAGCTACATCAGACCCTCCTACAGACTGCAAGTCACACTGTCAGGGACACGCAAAGGAGAGTCGGCGACCGGAGGCGCCAATTGTGGCAAGAGCAAGCAGACCCTCATGGAATCCCCACCCCCTATCTCTACAAGACCCGGGGGGGACCTGTCTAAATGTAAGCTACATTTTTCAATGTTTTTTGGGGGGAGGGAGGGGTCTAAAAAATGTAGCTTACATTTAGACAGGTCCCCCCCATCTCTTGCGGGGGGGGGAGGGTCGTACGAGCGTCGTCCACCGTCGTTCCACCCCAATGCCATCGGCCAAGCGATGCTTGCGTTCGATGCTGCTGTCCGGCATTGTTTGGAAGCTTGCTGCACTGGCCCGCTCACTCCCGAGGCGTGGGCCCAAGCTGCCCTCTCCACCACCCACGGCGGGTTGGGCCTCCGCCACGCATCAGTGCCGCCAGTGTTGTGGCCACCCATGGGCTATGCCGGCTTCTTGACCCAACCTACAACAGTGCCGCAACCACCGAGGCAATGATGCGCTGCACATGGCGCAGCATTCCGGCGCGTGGGTTTGGACAGCAAACCGCCATGAGCACAATCACCTCCGCTTACAGCGGCAGCCAGCTGCTGCAGTCCAGCAGCGCAGGCCACCTCACACAGCACCGCCGCCACCATGCAGGCCACCATTATGTTGGCGCCTGATTAGTAAAGGCCCCCCCCCCCCTCCCCTCAAACAAACAGGAGGTCCTCTATAATAAACTATCACCAAAACAAATCTGGATTCCTGGTGAGGGATCTTTTGTAATTGATTGTAGTATTCATTTTCCTTTCATAGATTGTATTCAGCTTCCTTTCTCAGGTGCTTTGTAATTATTCCAAGCATTCCTTTTGCTTTGCAGCCTGAGATCTTGAGCTCAAGAGAAGCCCCAAGCTTTCATTGGCCTCAGGAGCTAAGTAAAGGGAGATTCCATGTGCATTTTTTCCAGTGGAAAAAAACTTTTCACAATAGAGGTCCCAAAAACAAATTTCTTATTGAGGATCAGGGGCCTTCCTGGTCTACTACCTTGAAAATTTGTTTAGGAGCAATGTTTTATAAAGGGTTTAATTGGGTTCAGAAGGAAGGGGGGGGGAGTGCAGGTGGACAGGATTCAGAAGGAATTCAAACCCTGATTTATTGGGTTTCCAATATAAAAAATAGGGCCTAAAAAATATTTAGCATTATAGAGGTATCATTTTTCAAACAGGGGGGGTCTGAATATATTTGGAAAATTTTAGCATTATAGAGGTACCTTTTATATACTAATCAGGATCCAACATTACTGGGAGGACTCTTGTCTTTGCCGACTTCGTCCAAGGGAGTTTTTATGTGAACAATATTACTGGTGGGGGGGGGTCGTGGAACTCTTCGGGAGTGGCTCGAAGAGACGACAAGTGGATGCAAGACAAACTGGAGTCTATGATGGATGGCTTGTGGTGGGCATGCGTTATTCTACTGCACTTCAGTGATGGTGAGTCGTGCTGGAAGAGATTTTCGGTGAGTACTGGCCATACGCACCCGGGCATCTGAGCGAAGAGACCCAAAAAAGAGTTGAGAAACTCTGTTCATTTTCATGGCTTGACCATTGAGGAATGGCGCCAACAAGAACCTAGCATTACCATGAAGCACATCATGATTGACAACTACGGAATGCATCGTGGTATTGCAGTGAAAAATTGCACAAGGCAAACAGGTTTACGAAGAACATACGCCTGACAACTGCTGTAAGATTTTGGTCATTTGATGTCATCCAGCGGCGCATGCAATCCAAATGATATCATAATTCCGGGAGACCTTCCAAGAAGATTCAGTACAGAGAGCACATGGAAGAGATTTTTGTTTATCAGAATGTTGTTTGTTAAGCAAAAATAGAATTCTTTTGTTTTTTGTATTAAACGAAAACATAGAGAGATTTCCGATTAATGTATAATTACCGTAGCCATGTTGGTTCAAGAGTCAGTTCTTTAATTTTGTCCAATCTGAAATGGTTAACGATGGATGAGTTTCCTTCAAAATGGTGTTCTACAAAATATTTAAATCGGGCACAAAGCTCAAACACAATTAAAGTTCACCACCAGTTGAAAAAATAACGACACATCTGCAGTATTTTTGATTTTTATCAAGAACTTACTGCACCATCCACTAGAACCTCTTCAAAATCAAACACCAAAAAAAGGTGGAAAACATAAGATTATATGTGTAAATGTGTTTCTATATAAATAAGTGTGTCTCTGCAAAAAGTACACTAGTGTATAGCTCAGGAGGTGAAAGATGTAAACAATCATTATCAGACGATAGTATTATATAGACCTACGCAAGAGATGAATTGTTTAAGTTGTTTTATTAGTTTGTAATTTGTATTGTTTTCAATATTGCTCTAATCGATTCTGCAAAAAATGTTGGAATAATCCAAGGAAATGTATGGGAATGTATATGGTTGGAGAAGGACCAATGCACTTGATTGAAAAATGAGAATGTAAATAAATATACATCGTATTTTGTACATACGTATCGTAAATGAACAAAAGTTGGAATTTCATATATGAGATAGTTCTAACAAATATCACAAATTTAGGTAAACCATATTCAATTATGCGTATAAAAGATACTACTCGTTATTAAACAATATGTATGGTGCAAATGGAATCATGAAAATCGGGGGATTTTTTTGGGGGGTTTGACTCTTTGTTGAGAGAGTAGAAAAAGGCATTGAGGCACTCATGTTATATCGGTTTGATTTGATGATATTGGAACCGATGGCGCTGTCATGGGCCAGGTAAGGGGACTATTACCTGCTTTGACTCGCCCAACGTGCCACCCATCACGTTGCGAGATTATTTGCTTCGCCTTTGGCGTTACATGAACTGTGCCTTGGAAAAGGACTGGGACGTTCCGGAGACCCTGACATTTTGATACCCTGACAGTCCAGGAAAATGAAACCTTTTACTTTGAACAGGTAGTGGTGGATGGATTGACTACCAGGTGGCGTAGTCCATGAGTCCCAACGCAAGTTCTGGGATAGACATGCCAGCGTTTCAAGGCTTTGATTAGAGTTCTTTCGAGCCTCACACTTCAAAAGGGCCTGGAATTTGCATGTCATGAATGTACCAGCAGTTCCATGTTGGAATGGTTTGTAGTCTCTCAAGTGAGTGGATGTTCTAGGCACTGGGCACTGCTATCCTCCAAATTAGGCACTCCGTCTTGTGACTGCGGGCACTGTTGCGTAGACAAAATGCCACAACTTTGTGCGGATGTCACCCATGAATCGTGATTCAACCGATTGAACACCAATGCTGACATGGAAGAGGATCTCTTTCGGTTTGGAGAATGCCAGCGGCAAATGAGGCTTCACCCGAATTACGCATGTCGACGAAAGATGTCCCATGAAACGCTGTGCACCTCAAGTTGTATGGACACTGACCGCAGCTCGACGGTACAACAGGTCCAATCATGAGGGTCGTCGGGTAATCCATATACCTATACTGGACATAGCTTGACTGCTTTGCACAAGGGACACGGATTCCGTGTGTGTATCAAAGAACACACTTTTTGCAGGTCCAGCTCAAAGCTTGCTATGTTCAGCAAAGAAGTGCGGAAGTAGGGTAACTGTACATCTCCACACTGCAGGTTGACTCATTCATACTCCTTTCCAGATTCATCCGATCCCTCTGAGACTTTGAGAGATTAGTGGGCATCAGTGGGCATCCCCTCTAATTTTCCTCTTACGGCCCTGGAAAAAAGGGATGCATGGCGTTTTTGCCCGAAGCACCTGATTTCGACCCCAGATACCCAAAGGCAGGTTCAGACTCCAGATACCCAACGTCAAATCTCCCTCAGTCAGATGAGTTCTAACCTTAAGATCCACAGGTGGTTAGGTGGTGAATGGACACCCCACGTTCGGGGTCCTGGTTGATCTGGTTTTGGTCGTGTAAAACCCTTCACAATGGTGCAGCTCGGGATTCAATCCATCCATGGGCGAGCGCAAGCCTTGAACGTGCGGCACCGAGGTAGCATTGAGTGCTTTGTAACGGCTTTGGCGTATCTCGACCGCTTGCAGCAGAAGGACCTCAAGGCTCGTCCAGTCGGGGTGGTCGGTTCCACATGACCGCAAAAAACAGCTTTCATGTAGGCGCTTGATTTGAAAAATAGAAGTAAAAAAGAACATGTACACATGTTTTTCAATTGTTTCAGGTCCAGTTTGCACTTGCCTACGCCTAGGTTATTGAACACGCAAAACACCTCTCCATGCGGATGTCATATGGCTGTAGCTAATCAACAGTTTACAACAGGGCAACAGGTTGACTGAAAAGCAGGTTCAATCGATTACAAAATTGTCAGTCCAGGGTGACTGTTCTTATGGAATGCTTTTGCGCTATGTTATGCCCGGACAATCCTTGGTCCATCAGGACCCGAACCAAACCCTTTTCCATTAGTTGGGGTCTAGATTCTTTGACCCTGTAGCATTCCGGTTGCCCACCCTTGATTCAATCGCCAGGTCATTCCGATGAACTAATTGTTTTGCTAACTAGAAAACACAGCAACTTTTTGTGCCGTGCACCGCTGCACTTTCAAGAAAGGAAGGTACAACTTGGCATCGAATGAAAGCAAGAGAGCAGAGATGAGTGTATGGAGTCTATGTGGAATCCTTGCTTGTATTTCCCTACACCTCCAGTCGTACCTCCTCAGAAGGTGTTTGAACCCTCCTGGCACCCATCCCAGTCCCACCTTCGAAAAGAAGGTACGACTGGAGGCCTATAGGGTTTATATATTTGTCATGGGCAGACCACTCCCCCAGCACTGCTTGGCCAACGTTCGATGCGTGCACTCGCCCAGATCGTGAGCGGTCTTGGATCGCAGGTGGGCATTTTGAATGTGCACACCGTTTTCCTGGGTTGCTTGGCCTCCGCCTCAGCCAAAAGCACGTGATGGGAGGGTGGCTGAAAAGGTGTGTTTTGGCATCAAGCAGGCAAAAAGAAAAGGGGCGACTGGTTCCCAAATGTTCCCCAAACCCAGACACAAGCTGTGGGACCTGTGTTATTTTCACCTACCTTCACCCTGCCCTACACAGGGTTTGGTTCAGGTCCGACCCATGGAGGGCCCGCCCAAGGATTTTTAGGGCCTTTGAGTCACTTCTGGACCCGCCCTGTCGGCAGGCAGTTCTGTCGGCCGGCAGATTACGTACCTTGAAGGGTCGCGTATTGGTCGAGTGATTGCAGAAATGAATTGTCAGGAGTGGGCTTTCCAAGCCAGTCCTAAGTCACTAGACCTGCAAGTCCTAAGTCACTAGACCTCAGCATAAACTATGTTTCCCCAAACAGTTTACTGTTGGGGTTCTATCTTAGAAAAAAGAGCTGGCCACACTGACTGGCCGCGCCCCTGAACTCGTTGGCTGGGCTTTGTGGGCGCGCTCTGTGGCCGGGTCTTGTCCTCGTGTCGTCCTTCTCTTGTCCTGCTGTTGTCCTCCTCTTGTCCTCTGGCCACACTGACCAGCCCTGGACAGACTGACTGGCCGCCCCTGAACTCTGTGGCCGGGCTCTGTGACCGTGACCGGGTCTGGTCCTCCTCTTGTCCTGCTCTTCTCTTGTCTTCTCTTGTGGCCGAACAATTAGCGATGTCGATGCTTTGCTCTTGCAAGGGGGAGAAGGTAGGATGTACTAAGAAATCGTTTTTGAATTATATTGGTCCCAACGAATCGTATCGAAGCTGTTTGGGGTCTGTCTATGTGTGTATCTTTTTAAATGCATGGTTCTTATATCATTTCAACCTTTACTTGATCATTGATCCCACTGACTCATATGTTTCGAGTTCTGAAACCACCAAGCAGAAGTCAAGTCCTGGCGGATCTTCAGGGGAGAAGGAATCCTTCAAGGACTTGTTGTTGAATTAATTTAATGGCGTATTGAGTTGGATATTATAGTTGGACTCCTTGATGGGATGTGATGTGCAGTTCCTGAACCCTCCAGTTCATACAACAGAAAAAGGGACATGACCTATTCGAACCCAAATCAGATAGTGAAAGAGACCTATTTTTCAGGGTGCCAGCAAGTCTTTGGGTTCTCCCTCGGTGGAGGCTGAGTTTGATTTAGTGTTCTTCAAGACGCCCCTAATTTTGGCCGACGCCAAGCATTCCACACGATCGCACGATCACATGAGGTCAAGCACAGTGACCTGAAGTCGATCCGTTCTAGCAAACAGAATCCTTACTTCAATACCTAGGGATCCAACCTAATAGCGATGGCCTCCAACCTAACTGCGATGGCCTCCAACCTACTAGCGATGGCCTCCAACCTCCTAGCGATGGCCTCCAGCCTCCTATAGAGCGATGGCCTCCAACCTCCTATATACAGCGATGGCCTCCAACCTCCTGTATATAGCGATGGCCTCCAACCTCCTATATGAGCAACCTGATCTATTTGCAGAAAGCTATTCAGTAAAGGACCCGACATTGGGTTTGCAGAATTTGCATTTTACTTGGAAAACGATAATACACTCATCAACAAACGATAACATCATGCGTATAGGAAAGCTTAGTTTTCATAGCTGCAGTACAGTTTTTTTGCAACTAAGACGATCAAAAGACATCGTTTCTGCGTAGTGTAGCCTTTCCCAAAGCCGCTTTTGACTTCGGACTTTGGCGACAGGTTTGTCCGTAATGTACCTGTATACGATAACCAAACGATAACGTAAATGTAGACGAACTTGTGCTACGAAACCAGTGCCCCAATTGTATCTGAAACATGTCTTCCAAACAAGCTCAAGACATGACTGGTCTGCTGATAGCCGAAAGATGAGTGGTGAGCTCAATCCAGCTGCCTGTTTACTCTTGGTGGAACAAAGAACCTGGAAGTGCATGAGCCCAACACGAAGGTTTACCGGAAGCCAGTAAGTGTCACCTGATTGTGAATGGGGCTTTCCTGGATGAGGTTTTTGCATTGCCTGGGCATTCCATGCACCCTTGTGACATGGGGAGACTAGACACATGACATGACAAAGGCGAGCAAAAACAACACAGCTCTTTGAGTCCACTGTGTCAGGGTTCACTTGTGGATGAGGCTTGGATCAAGTGAGCAAATCGTGTGATCCATAGGGTTGGATCAGAGCCTTGATCCATGCATACTGCCACTCGTGGCAGCGCGGAACGATCCATACCAGGGTGTTTGGGCATGCCCATCGGCTTGCATGTCCAAAAAGTCGGCCGCGTTGTGAAAACAACCTTTAACATAAGTGGAAAACGATAATACAAACAGCTTCGCTCATATAGCGATGGCCTCCAACCTACTAGCGATGGCCTCCAACCTCCTAGCGATGGCCTCCAAACTAGCAAACCTTTCTTCAATAAGATCTTGTGACATCGGCTCGACGTGCAGCTCAAGCAGTTCGAGTTCCAGGCCCACTTGCTTCCCCATTATTGGTTCACAACCCCCCGAGCAACGGAGGGAATGGTCAACTTGCTTTGTGAGGCTGCTTAGAATGCCTGTTGACACCCAGACACTTGAAGTGACTTTCATACCACAGTGCGGTGGTTGAAGAGAGGTCTTTAATTATGGGTAAACAATAATAAATACATAGTATTTATGTAAACATGATGCCAAGTAAACCAAACATAGAGCCTCAGAGGAAAGTGACCTTGCTGTACCTTGCTTTCCTTCCCACTGAGAAAACACCACTTCCCAAAGGACCACGGGGCGCGGGTCCCAAGGGCCGCACGTGCGAGGTCGTGGCGGCCAAATTCCATGACGGCACCTACCGGAGCAACACCTATTACGCCTCTCGGGCGGATCTACATGGAAATCCAGACCCCAGGTGTTTAAAAGATGTTAAATAGGTTTTGTCTCATTTGGGCTGGAGTCTTTCGGTGGGACTCGGCACTGTTGCTTGAAAGGTCCCTTCGGTCCGTCTTCAGAACAGCGCTGATCGGCTCGGCTCAGAAGGTCGGACAAGATCGGACTTCGTCACCCCTTGATGAACCACTGGGTGTGGGGCGGTCTGGGTCGCGCCACAGCACGGCAAACGGGTGGAGTCAATCAGAAACCCGGATGCATTGGGTAGTTTCTGATTGGTGTGTACGGACCTCTCTTGGTACATGAACAGTCTTGATTGAATGTTGCCTTTACTTGGTTCTATCGACATGATCGGCTCTAGGCCTGGAGCTTTACGGTCGTTCTACTAGAAGCTGCCTCTTCATTCCACATCCAAAAGCCACCCAGTTTCAAGGCTCTTCCATGATTTTCGACCAACGAAAACCCGCGAGGCTGGGACTCCATCGTAGATTTAGCAACTACCAGGGGCCCTCAAAACCATGAAAAACCAACGGTTTTCACAAACAAAAACCATGACCATGTGTTTTGCCAGGGAAAACCGTGGTTTTTGTTAATGGTTTGTGGGGTCCCTGGTATAGGCTAGTAAATAGTTGCATACAACTCCAACCAGGTTACGCAGCTAGGCTAGGTCACGCAGCAAGGCCAGGTTTTGCAGCTCAAGGCCAGCTATCATCATGCACCAACCAAGTAAAATGTGTTTTGACATGGCCAGCTTCATTGGAGTTACTCAGCCTAAAAAGTACCAGAAACCAATCATATCAAACCACCTCGTATTGAGGCGTAGAAGGCGGAGCGTCTTTAGTTCAAAGAAGATTGGTGATCCCGAGGATCCATACCACCAAAAAGCGATTAACAACTCCCGCTTCTTCAGTCGAGGCCTCCAGGTAAGTACCTTCGTTTCGTTTCGGTGGGACGACGGCCCGGGTGGTTTAGGAGAGTTCAGGAAACGACCGAAGCCCAGTACCGAAGCTCTTCGGTTCGGTCGAATCTCTCCCTCTGAAGAGGCTGAAGAGCACCCATCTTCACCTTAAACTGCTTCTCCCTGGGCTCCAAGTGTCCAAGACCTCATGGTTCGAAGCCTCCAAAACCACCGAACCGCAATATAATTGAAGCCCTCCTGGACTCCTGAACGTCTCGAACGAAGCTCCAATCCCTCCCGAGGCTCGTGTGGGTGGTGTCACCGCCAAGTCGCTGTACTTTGTGGCTGCTCAACCGAGAGCGAGCGGACGAATTGGTGGTCTTTCTGTTGGGAACACCGGGTCGGATGACCTAAAAACTTCCACAACTCGGGTGGGTGGAGGCATGTGGGTCCGGGGTGGCATGGATGGTCCTTCAGGTGTGAACATGGCAGGCATCAACCTGGTGCCCAGGGAGCACGGAGCATGGATTGTTTTGGGGTTCATGGGGGATGTGTTGTTGGGTACGGTGAGTGTTGTGCCTTTGCTCCAGCGTTTCAAGCTACAGGCTTTATGGTTGTTCAATAAGACTCTAGCCCTGGATCGTAATTGCAAACAAAGGGCTCCTGGCTTCTTTCTGGGATTCTAGGTGCAAATTGAACTGGGCTTCAGGTGTCTCCAAACGCAATTCAGAGCCATGAAGGACATGCCAGGGGCCCAGCAAACCATGAAAAAAACTGGTTTTCCCTAGCAAAAAAATGGTGTTTGTATGTGAAAACCTGTGTTTTTCATGGTTTTGAGGGCCCCTGGTAGTGGAGCAAGTCATGCCCTCCAGCACCCGCAGTTTGGACGAAAAGCTGGTCCGATATCAGGCTTGTTCATTGAGTCTTTAGTCGGATGGAGGTCGCCTTTGGAGATCACAGGTCACGGTAGCAACTCACAGCCCTCTGTGGCAGAGCCTGATTTTCTCCAGATAGTGCGCTATCCTGGTTCTTGCTTCAAGCATAGGGAGAGGTGCCGAGAGGTGCGCTGCAGAGAGCTGAGTGATGATGACGCTGCAGAGTGCCACTGCCAGGTGTATGGCTGTGCGCGCTTTGGAGCCCCGGATGCTGGTGCCTCTGCAGGGTGCTGCTGCTATGATGCTGCCCACAATATCTTGCTATTTGGGGTCAGTATTCTGGCGTATTTGTTCATTGCCTGTAGGTCATGCAGATTCTGGGCCACCTTTTCAAGTATATAAGAGACAATGTGTTCAAATGTTGCTTGAGCCGCCTCTTTCCGTGGACCTCAGGTCTACCTTGCGACCCCGCATCCCCCGCAAAGCTCGGCATTTCGGCGAACGGTCGACTTGGTGCAAAAGGGCCTCAAAGTTGTATCTCAGGAGACACAAGTGATCAAGATGCTGGATTGGAAGGCCAAAGTTACAGTGGAGGAATTCAGGTGCGGGGGTTTGTGGGGGGGCAATCGTTTTTTTGCGTCAGTCCGTGAGGAATTCGATCCCGGCGGCCGCCGAACTCAGGGGATGCAAGAGAATGTATCACCCACATGGTATAGATTTGGCACGCCTGGGCGACCATGGCATCCACTCCCCTATTGAAGACTATTTTGCCTCCAGTGTGAGCCTGGTCGTGTGAAAGGGATTGTTTTTTGGGTTTAGAATGTGCTGAGTTGTTTCTCCTGCAAGATGTCTTTGCTGATTGTTGGTCTTAAAATCGATCCACATCTCGTGACGGGTTCTTTGAGGATCACTGGCATGCAGAGATGACTGGGCAGGTCTATTCTCGCCTTCGCATCAACGAGATGCTGGACCGATCCGTTGAGTAGACCGATCACCCAGTGGACCGATGGTACGGTGAGATCCTCGAGCCCTGGATGCCCCCACGACCGGAGCTCCGATTTTGGGTCTCTGGTCGTGCCTTCTGGATGCAGGATGTCAGAGGAGACAGGTCCTGGGTCACATGCAGTAGATGCACCAGGCAGTAGGGGTCTAGGTAGAGCTTCTGAGGGCAACTATGATACCCGAAACCTCTAGAACAGTATTTGGAGAAAATGACGCCTAACCCTCACACAACAAGTATTTCAGTGCTTCTGTCATCTTCTGGTTCATTTCCAGGGTACGAACCATCTGTCCGGGGATTGATTGCATTCCTCCATTTGAAAACCCATGGCGCCGGTCACCAGGGGTCGCTGGACGAAGGAAGGTCGGGCGTCATGGGGCTTCTCATGGGCGCGCGACTTCAGATCAGCCCTGGGCCTGAGCGGCCCCACCCCTACCGCCCGCTGTGTTTGGAAGATCACATGGGAACACCAGATAGGTCAACGTGAACAGGTCGGTGCCATGACCGCCACATGACCCATACTACCAGGGCATCCAGGCAGTTCCCACGATGTCGCTGGGAGTCCCAGTGGTTCCAGTTCGACGACCAAACCAGTTCGACCGGTTCCGAAGGGCCCCTGGTTCCTTAGTACTGGTTGTGGGAACTGCCTGGGATGCACTGGGAGAGAAAAAATCCACCCGCGCTATATATGCACCTCATGGCAGATCCATGTGCGAGCTCCTCTTCTCCGATAAGAGATGGCTCCTTTTGCGCTCAGCACAGAAGGCAGGGTGCTGAGGAAGGGTGCTGATTTTCGCGCGGCCAGTTTGTTTGTTTGATTGGAATTCCGAGCCCAGAACGCCCAGAACGCTACAGGCGCAGGGGTCGACCAAACCCATTCTCAAGAGTTCGTAACGATGCTGTTGACGCTGATCGGACCGACGATGCCGTTGACGTCGATGTCTGGACAATCCAGCGGGATTCCCAAGCTGAGCAGCGGGACATTGCAGGATTCATGGAGACCTCACATGCTTGGAGGTGCTTACCTGGTGCTTTCCTGGTGAACTGCGGGTCAGGTGATTTGGTGGACTTTTCCCGGTTGGGTGAATTCCCAAACCTGGTGATTGGTCAATTCTTTTCCCGGTTCTGTCAGTCTTTGTCTCCACCTTTTTGTCCAGTTACAACTCATCAAACCCGACTAAACCATGGTCGGTGTACTCATCTTTTCACCCCTTCTTTCAGCCAATCCAAGCTTGGCTAAGTTGGTCGCCTTTGTTTCATGTCCCGGGTCGAGCAGCGCTCCAGGGCTACTTGGCGAGCAGCGAGTTGCCGGGCGGCCCAGTAAAGTCGGCGCCAACGGCACCACCGTTTTCATGCCACGTGTGGCGATTGCTGGAGTGCGCCCCCCCCCCAGTCAAATGGATCGGCAGTGGGCTGAGACCAAAAACCGGTCAGTTGGACCTGATTTTTAGAATCAAAGCACGAGACCCCGGTCTCAACAGTGCGCCCACGCGACCCGTCTCCGCGGTCTCCGGTCTCCACGCGACGTCAGGAGGCGTAGCAGCAGTGAGAGCATCACTGCATCTACGACCACGGGGGACAGCCTCTCCGATGAGGACCTCCATCCCAACGGAACGTCCCGGGCCTGTGCTGTGCTGCATGAGGGGCAGAAGCCATGGCGGATGGCTCGCGGGGAACCTGGTCCAAACACAGGTTAGTCGTTTTGCAGATGTTTGCAGGGTCAAACTCAAGGGATCCAAGTACTTCCAAGTATTTGCTGTTTTGCGTTGTCGGTGGTTTGATGCCACCCTGGTAGCTGATCACTGCACCGATACTGTTGATGCACGGACAGAGAATGTGTGCGCACAGTTCTGCTTCTCGCAGTGTGACTTTGCTTTCCTTTTCGCTCACCTGGTGGTGTCTGTCCTTTCCCTTTTTCGCTCCATTTCACCTCGTCAGGATGCCGCTAGTCGCGTGAGCCCTGAAGATGACGCAGGCCTCGCTGCGCTCACGCGGTTCTGGCGGCCGCGGTCGTGCTTGGACGCGTCCGACGGGGGGTCGGGGGGAAGTGCTGGAGGGGTCGAAGGCCGCGATTGGGTTCGGGTCCAGAGACGGGCTGGACAAGAGGATGCGGGTATGGCCCCCCAAGCATTTGGAGAAATATGTATAGAACATAGAATAGAACCTTGGAAGACTATACTCACCCTCCATTTCAAACTAAGAGGTTTTCCACTTCCATGTTAGTGATTGCGGAGTATGTCGGAGTGTAATTCTTGAGGAATTCGGGCAGCTCCAGAGCTCCAGCCTTTGCTTGGTCAAAGAATTGCAATAAGACCTGCAGTAGAAGGGTGGTCAGATCCAGGACTGGATCCAGTTGGAACCTCCGTTGGACCCTCCGGAACTCTACCCTTCAGCTCAGAGGACACGAGCTTGGGCTCCCCTGAGCTGGGGGGCCCCCCACCTCATTCAAACAGTGAAAGTAACCACTCACTACCAGGATCCTGTTAAGATCTTGTTAACACTTATTAACCACCAATAGTGAAACATGGCAGTTTATCTTAATAGAGCTTTATTACCGAGAAAACCCATATGTTAGATGAGTCAAAGGTGGCATGTCACAGCATACCTCTGAGAGCAACAAAAGCGATTGCAGACTTTTCTTCTTGTGAGTTCAGTGTGACATGGCAATGACTTTGTCATGCCATCGGAGTTGCTCCACCATGACTTCTTGTCACAACAATGACTCCAAGTATGCATCACCCTTAAGCTTACCCTCCTGTGTTTCAAAACCACACCGTCCGTTCCAGTGGAGAAACGTCTCCTGAGATCTTTGAAAGCCACATCATCACTGCCCTCATCATCATCGCTCTGTTGCTCCATTGCCGCTGCAATGAGGGGAACCCGGGGGAAAACAATGTTCCTTTGTTCACTCACTCTCATCATGTCTTTTTTGAATAAACCAAGCGCAACATATATCTGCATATTCAAGATCTTTTCTATTCTTCGTTCTGTCATTTCGATCATACTCCGACTGAGCCCACATTTTGAGCCTGGAATTTCCAGGAAAACAGTGCCAGTGTTCATTCAAGTCCACAGGGGGACCTATAAGGCAAGGGGAGCCTGAGCTAACCACACGTGACCTTCGGAGGACACCATGCGGGAAAAAAGGGCACTGAAAGATGATAGCAAATGGAACCTCCTAGCGATGGACTCCAACCTACCAGCGATGGCCTCCTACCTACCAGCGATGGCCTCCAAGCTACTAGCGATGCCTCCAACCTACTAGCGATGGCCTCCAACCTACACCCAGTGGGAGGAACCTCAACCCTCAACGCGAACCCGTCTGGCGGATCCGATTGGGGACCGCAGGGGGAAAAGGACCCGAACCACAGCCCCGTGTTGGTTCGGGCCCGGAATAATAATCTCAGGGTAGTCGAAGTCTTCGATGGGGAGCGGGTCGTCGACGCCATTGTTCGAGGCGGCTTCTCCACGGAGGAGGCCGGGACATGACCGATGCCAGACTGAGACTCGCGGATGGTACAAGAGGAGAAGACTTACCCTAAAGACATCCAAAGACTACCTGTTTGATTTCAATGATCAGGCCAGGCGTGGTTGATAAGGGGTCAATGTTGGTGTTTGAGCCTGTTTGAGGGTGAAAAGCACTGTATGCGTTTTTGCTTGGGGGATGTTGGGGATAGACATACTTCCACTCACCAGTATCAGTGGCACCATATCCAACGAAACTCGTCATTGGAGCAAAAAAGCACTGCGTTACCCCCAAACAGATACAACGATAAAATACTCCTGGACACATCGACACGCTGATGGTTTGGTTGACACCCTCGACAGCCGAGGGTGTCCAGATCCCCCAGCTATCCAAAATTCCATGGCGATGCGTTCGCAGCTACTGTACATCTTGTGGACAGGTACCCGTGCACGAGCTGAGCGGGCTCAAGTCTATAGGGAGTGTACCCTTATAGAAATGATACCAGCCTAGACCCCAAGCAGCGTCAGCATTTTTGGGGGCATCGGCGTCAACTCCGTAAATTTCATTGTGGGTGGAAACGCATGCAAGTATACTTTTCTATTGCCTCCAGCTGTTTGGGAACTGCACCTAAACCAACATATGTTGCCTGTGTCGCAGGTCAAAAACGATGGGATACTGGATATATAATATATGGATATATGTCATGAGAAGATCCGATGGTGATATCACATTTCAATCGCTGTATCACTGTTGCATTCACATCCACATGAACACATACCCAGACAAGGCGGTGGAGACAGGAAAAACGGCATGGACAAGCAGGGGACAAGCCCCAGATAAGGTGGTGATAAAAGGGTCCACCAGGTGGACAAGCAGGACAGGCAGACCTGGACAAAGGACAAAAGGAGGACACGGGGTTTGCAACCGTGGCACGCGGACAGCAGGACACCGGACCCACAGGGCTTGCAGACGCCACGAGAAGCAGGTGCATGACACTAGGAGGACCAGAGAAAGACACAGGGCTCGCCAGAGCGGCCAGAGGATGGCAGCAGCAGGAGAACAACTGGAGGACAAGAGAAGGGGACAAGAGGAGGAGGACAAGAGCAGGACAAGAGGAGGACAAGACCCGTACACAGAGGCCTCACGCAGAGTTCAGGGGCGGGGCCAGCCAGTGTGGCCAGCTCCTTTCTCCTAAGAGAGAACCCCAACAGTAAACTGTTTGGGAAAAAGACTCTAAGGAACCAAATAGCGATGTATAGCGATGGCCTCCTAGCACCAAAACACCAGTTCAAAGGGTATCAAACAATCCTTGGGCCACCCCATAGAAGGACTGACATTTTCGCAAGGGGAGAAACCCTCAAAACATGTCAAAGCAATCAAACACACGACAAATTGAAACAATCAAGGCAAAAAATCGAGCACGAAATGAGAGAAAAACAACCTTTTTCTTCTTTGCTTCTTAGGGGTGACCGAGCTGGTCAGGTGGTCCTGATGTGGTCGGGCCACTTTTTTCACAGGTCGCAGTGGGTCGTGAAGATTGAGCAGGGAACATGAGGGAACGCCGGACAATGATCTGGCCTGGGGTAGCTCGGGCTGCAGGGCTTGCAGGGCTCGCAGGGGTCGGCCGGTGGCGTCTATCTCCAGGTTCTGTCCAAGTCCAGGAAGTGTTTGCAGCATGAACGGAGTCTCCACCGCTGGCCGACTGGCAGATCACCGGATTCCAGACACAAACCAATTCTGATAGTAAACGAAATTCAGGATTACTGTTTTAAATTTTAAGATGTTTCAAGTTCTTTGTTACTAGTAGTAATGGCCTCCAACCTACTAGCGATGGCCTCCAACCTACTAGCAATGGCCTCCAACCTACTAGCGATGGCCTCCTATATGAAATTCTAGGATTCATGGTCTTCTGAAGATGGTGTGCCACTTTGGCAGATTGATTGGTCGGGTCCACGAACTTCCAGTTGCTGAAGAACATGCAACATGACCATGACCGACATGCAGAACAGGTTTACCTCTCTGCGGCCCGTGCAGTTTCTCTGGAGGGTTCGTGCTACTGGAACTCAGCAAATTTTGAGACCTGGATATTGTTGAGATCTACTAGATCTACTGTAATATACCCCAGACACGACTAATGGGACTAATATATTGACCGATCAGTTGGGGTGGTGCCAGGGGGTCAATGTACGCATATATGGCAGTCCCATGGAGTGTTTGGGTACTGTAATCATCGAATCTATACCGGTTTGGTTCGTCCCATTCGGGGCAGCCCCGACTCACTCCGTTCGCTAAGAAATCAACTGCATCTGGTAGATTTGGTTTCCTGAAGTCCAGAAAATCTAAGATGGTGGAGAGTCCCAACACAGCCTGCTTTTGTTTTTGCGGTGATTTGTGATTTTCCCGAGCTGGGTAAATCCACCAACCTGAGGAATATGGTCTATTTGCCCTAGGGCTCCAACCATATCCTCAGAAGGTGGTTAGACCCCCTAGCACCCACCCCAACCACCTTCGCAGGAGGTGGGCCAGGAGCCCTAGGGTTGAATCTCGGTTGAGGCTCCAAGGCCCCAAGGCAGGAAGGCTTTCTGTCTGTCCCCGCAATCCCTGCACATCTTCCGGACCATGCGGAGAGACACTTCGACAGCCGTCCGGGCGGATTGGTCAAGTGCAGAAGGAAGACTGCTGAGCATGAATACTACAGCATGTGCGGTATGTCTTAGTTTGTTTTTGCCAGGCCTGCTGTCAATGTCTACTTATTATATAAAGTCTTTTATTTTATATTACATTACTATTATATAGACCCAGATCGTTCGTTTTGTATTGTATAATGTAGATCCCTAACCTTATATATTAATAAGTTGGAAGATTCGGGTATATTCAACAGGTTTCCTTCCATTTCCAGTTTATACTATGCACCATGGCCAACACAGACCTGTCAAGATACACGACCAGCGAGTACAACGAAATAGGTTTTTAGAAGGTCATTGCTATACGCCATCACTCCATCACTGTTGGCATCCTTTTTGCGATCCCTTTATGTTGTGCAGGCTGTTCATGTAGAAACACATACAGTATATAGCCAGTTTGGGCTGGCATGTATGTAGTAGCCTTGGCTACTTTAACTTTCCTTCCATACCACGCAATGTCATTTGGTGATTGGAAAGCTGTGGTGCAGCGCAAACAATGACGAGTCACCCGCTTGCACTTTGTTTGAAGATTACCCGATTCACAGCCGATTGGCTTCCAGCAGGTTTGATCTTGAAACAACAGATTGTCTTCGGTTTTTCTGATGAAGGCTTCAGGCAACGCCAAGCTTAATCTATAGCTGTGCATAGCTGTTTTCTGATGAACCCTTTATCAAGCCATATACCAGCACCCTCCAACAGGTGTTTCCTGGTGACAGCAGGTGTCCAGAAACCACCTGTTAGGGTCTCCAAACAGCCTGTTGGAGGGTCCTGGTTTGTATATGTTGATACAAATGCTGAAATATTTTGATACATGCGCAACACTGTCTTTTTTCAGCACTTGAGATCGCTCATCTAGGGGTCTTGGACGGTTGTGTTCGAAGTGTGTGAGTCGCTGATCAGGAGGACAATCAATAGGAATCAATCCATTGAGGAATGACAAAGGAGGTAAACAAATGAAAAGAACCTGTACACCCTATACTGAACAGAATAAACGCAAAAAAGGGGTGTGTTCAACACAGAAATTACAATCTCTACAGTACGACAATCTACATCCCATCTCTCACATTCTCTCACCACTTGAAATTTGATCCGCTTTTGTTGACCGATTTTCCATACGGCCCTGGCCCTGGCCATCTGATGCGTCCTCCATCTCCGACTGGTCGGTGTTGCCAAACTTGGCACATCGGTCCTCACCTCTCTGCGGGAACCGCGTGGGTGTAGCCTGAGAGGTCCAGGGACAGCCCTGGACCGAAGCGAGCGAAAGCGCGAAGCGGATGGGAGATGACCAGGGCGAAGCGGATTGTCAAGGCAAAGAGTGCAGGATGTTGGGAGTTGGCGAGGTTTGGTTTGATGCCTCCCGTACGAGGTTCATGAAGCACCATACGAATCCTCTGGAAAACAATCCGACTGCCGGTTTCTGGTCCCCTCCAGTTCGACCCCCGTGGCTTCGACCACCACATGTCCTGAATGCTTCGGAATGGGGCCCTTCTGTGCCATTGGCGAAACTCCTTGGGTCGTACTCCTTGGTCGTCACGACTGGTGTCATACCGAACCTGAGGAGGTACAACTCCCATACACTCCATGTATGCCGGATACAAAACTGGTGGCATATATGGCAGTCCGATGGAGTGAGGAGGTACAACTGGAGCCCTTCTGAGTTGGTCTCACAACTGGTCACCAGAATGCTCTCGGACCCAATTCGACATGGCCCACCATTCGAAGGGCTTCGACATGCCACTAGTCAGCCCGATCAGTCGTAGGTGTTGGCTGCTACGCTTCGTTGTCCGGGCCGTCCATGTCTCCAGGGGAGCTGAAAAAGACGAGTTCCGTGACTCCATTCAGATGACCTACGATCCCTACACCGACCCGTCGTACCGAAACTCAGGTTGGCCTCATGGCACCCGGGCACCGGTCGTCCCACCGAAATGAAACGAAGGTACGACTGGAGGCCAAACGGGTAATAGCAATGGTCTCCAACCTACTAGCGATGGTCTTCAGCCCAGTAGCACTGGCCTCCCACCTAATAACGATGGCCACCCATGGCGTCTTCCATCTTGGCCCCCATTTGCTCTCCTTGTGGCTTGGCCCATGAGGCGAGACGCCGCGCGGTGGAGCGTCAAAGCATTCGAATGGTGTTGTTCTGCCGAACGAGATCCACAGCTTCTTCAAAGTGACCCTTAGGAGGCTTAAGTGACCTCAAACCAGGTTATCAAAAGGTCACTTTGAAGAACCAGGCAATCTGATTATACTAGCCGCAGATGACGAATTGTGCAGCGACCTCCAAACCACCACCTATGTCATGATGTCACGTGTTTGATTACTAAATAACACCAATGGGTTTCACCCGGACAACAACAAACTATCGGAGCATTGGAGCATCAGGATGTTTGGAATTGCCCAACAAGGTGTTTGACACCCTGCAACTCTGGATCATATAAACCGGTAACTAAGGGCTTGTAACATCTTGGTAGCCAAGATATCGTGAGGCTGGCATGACAGTGTCCTTCAAATCGTCTTGGACTTCAGCCTATCTTCGTTCTCGTGGCGACTGTCCAGTTCTTCAAAGCTGCTTTGCGCTTCACCGCGCGCTCCCCTTCTTTGGCGATCCAACGATGCGATCCGCGCGGGTTGCGAAGACGCGCGAAGACGCGCTGAGAGCGAGACACCGTCAGTGGTGCATGGCTCAGCGATGAGAGACACGTGGCACTCGAGATTTTCCAGTGATCGAGAACTTCCCAGGGCCCCCAACAGTATATTGATTGTATATTTATAATACTCTATATAATCTTTTTGGACGATTTGTCCTCCGAAAAGGGGTCGCTCAGGTTCTAGCATCATATCCTTTGCCAAATTTTTGAGAGCTGTATACATATATTATAATTTGATATTAACAAACATCGTCAAGGATGCTGAATTTGACCGTGACGAGCTCCCGGAATTTGTACCAAAAAGAAGTAAGAACTAAACATGCATGATGATGGAGGACCTTTTCAAATAAAAACGCCGGTCTTGGTCTTGGGAACAAATATGCTGGGGCGCTTGGTCTGGGGTCGGTCGCAAGCACTGATGCATTCATGCCAAGTCTACCAGTTGACCGTGAAGAGCATGGCACTTGTTACTACTAGTAAGCCCCTAGTAGCTTCTTGTTACTACTAGTAAGGCACTTGTTACTAGAAGCGTGGCACCTGTTACTACTAGCGTGGCACTTGTGGTCCAGTGGACCCAGTCTTTTGGCTGTTCTGTCGTCCCGGACCACGAGGGTCCGGTGGACTGTCCATCCGCTTGGAGCCGGCCCACGGTGTCGCTAAGAGGCGACAGCATAGCGAAGCAAGGCGACAGCAGAGCGACAGCGCCAGGGAGGTGATTTTGTTGCAATGATATGGAATGATCATTTTGGCGTTTTTTTTTGTGTTGCAATGGCTCCGTAAGTGTTTATATGTTTGGGCTGTGGTGGCTCCGTATTTCCTAGTGTTTTTTACTTCTGGAAAAAAACAGATGAAATGGATCAAAATATGCAGCTACTATGACCTATGACAGGATAGCAATTTGAAACCAGTAGACAAACTGCTTGAGCAACTGCAGTAAGACCATTCATTTCTTTTTTACAGTATTTATGAAACAATCAGGTTAATGTTGTGTGTGTGTTTGTTTCATCGATGTGTTCAAAAAAAGAAGTGATTGAAATCATGTGCCAATTCGCAGGAACGAAACATCTCCCAAATTTGTTGCACTGTGCATCACACCCAAAGCGTAGCCCGACACTGGATTTGCTCAAGTGGAAAACTTTCGGAAAACTGACAGATTATACAAGGCTTTGTTAGGCTTTGTTAGTTGAGGAGACCCCGCAGGGTCAGGGAGGCCCCTTAGATATGGTGTTAAGAACACCTGCACTGCCACCATAACTGCGATTCCTAGACTATGGTGTAGAACGATTGTTTGTTAGGCCAGCGAGTCAGTGCAAAACAAGT